CAAATATGAATTTACACTTATTTTAAAGCTAGAATATTCAAGATTAATATACGTATAAATAATTTTGTTAGAAATGTTTAATTACTAAAAAAATACGGTAAAAACGAAGTCTTCAGTTTGTTATTAATTTACGAAGTTACTAGTAGAATTACAAATACGTATTTATACTCATTTTAAACCTTAAATATTCAAGATTAATTTGCATTCAAATAATTTGTTTAAAAATTGTTGGTTGTGCAATTATAAGCTAAAAAGAAAGAGGTGAATTTTTGTATCTATTATTTAAAAAAAAGACAAAAGTTTGTTACTATTTTACAAAGTCTACAATAAAGTTACAATTATGTATTTCCACTCATTTTAAAGCTTGAATATTCAAGATTTATATGCGTATAAATAATTTTGTTAGAAATGTTTAATTACGAAGAAATACGGTAAAAACGAAGTGTTCAGTTTGTTATTAATTTACGAAGTTACTAGTAGAATTACAAATACGTATTTATACTCATTTTAAACCTTAAATATTCAATATTAATTTGCATTTAAATAATTTGTTTAAAAATTGTTGATTGTGCAAATATAACTTAAAAAGAAAGAGGTTAATTTTTGTATTAATTATTTAAAAAAAAGACAAAAGTTTGTTACTATTTTACGAAGTCTACAATAAAGTTACAATTATGTATTTACACTCATTTTAAAGCCTGAATATTCAAGATTAATATGCGTATAAATAATTTTGTTAGAAATGTTTAATTACGAAGAAATACGGTAAAAACGAAGTGTTCAGTTTGTTATTAATTTACGAAGTTACTAGTAGAATTAGAAATACGTATTTATAATCATTTTAAACCTTAAATATTCAAGATTAATTTGCATTCAAATAATTTGTTTAAAAATTGTTGATTGTGCAATTATAAGCTAAAAAGATAGAGGTGAATTTTGGTATCAATTATTTAAAAAAAAGACAAAAGTTTGTTACTATTTTACGAAGTCTACAATAAAGTTACAAATATGTATTTACACTCATTTTAAAGCTAGAATATTCAAGATTAATATGCGTATAAATAATTTTGTTAGAAATGTTTAATTACGAAGAAATTCGGTAAAAACGAATGTTCGGTTTGTTATTAATTTACGAAGATACTAATAAAGTTATGAATATACATTTATGCCTATTTTAAACTTAAAATATTTAAGATTAATTAGTATGTAATTATTTTCGTTTAAAATTGATAATTTCGATAATTTTTTTATAAATATTAAAAAGTTAGATATTTTCATCCATGATTAAATCAAGTTTGTTATTATTTTACGAAGTTATTAACAAAGTTGGAAATATGTGTTTATACTCATTTTAAAGCCCAAATATTTAAGATTAATTTGTTTATAACTGATATTGTTAAAAATGTTTAACTACGAAAAAATTCGATAACATTTGAGAAGTTAAATTTTCTAAATATTTCAACAGTTATTGACAAAAGTTTGTAATTAATTTACGAAGTTATTAGTAGAGTTACAAATTTGTATTTATACTCATTTTAAAGCATAATATTCAAGATTAATGTGTATATTAACTATTTAATTAAAAATGTTTAATTACAAAAAAATACGATGATATTTGAGAAGTTAAATTTTGTGAATATTTCAACAAGTTTGTAAATAATTTACGAAGTTACTAGTAGAGTTACAAATATGTATTTATACTCATTTTAAAGTACAAATATTCAAGATTAATGTGTATATTAACAACTTAGTTAAAAATGTTTAATTACGAAAAAATACGATGAATTTTGAGTTAAATTTTGTGAATATTTCCATAATTATTGACAAAAGTCACTAGTAGAGTTACAAATATGTATTTATACTCATTTTAAAGCCCAAATATTTAAGATTAATGTGTACATTAACAATTTAGTTAAAAATGTTTAATTACGAAAAAACACGATAAAATTTGAGAAGTTCAATTTTGTGAATATTTCAACAATTAATGACAAAAGTTTGTAATTAATTTACGACGTTACTAATATGTATTTATACTCATTTTAAAGCATAAATATTCAAGATTAATATGTATACTAACAATTTTGTTAAACATGTTTAATTATGAAAATATACGATAAAATTTGAGAAGTTAAATTTTGTGAATATTTCAACAATTAATGACGTAAGTTTGTAATTAATTTATGAAGTTACTAGTAGAGATACAAATATGTATTTATACTCATTTTAAAGCATAATTATTCAAGATTAATGTGTATATTAAAAATTTTGTTAAAAGTGTTTAATTACGAAAAAATGCGATGAAATTTGAGAAGTTAAATTTTGTGAATATTTCAACAAGTTTATTATTAATTTACGAAATTACTAGTAGAGTTACAAATATGTATTTATATTCATTTTAAAGTATAAATATTCAAGATTGATGTGTATATTAAAAAAGTAGTTAAAAATATTTAATTTCGAAAATATACGATGAAATTTGAGAAGTTCATTTTTGTGGATATTTCAACAAATAATGACGAAAGTTTGTAATTAATTTACGAAGAGACTAATAGAGTTACAAAGATGCATTTCAGCTTATTTTAAACCTTGAATATTCAAGATTATTTTCCACATTAATACTTATATAAGACATGTTTAATTACGAAAATATTAGCTTAAAATAAAGACGTTACATTTTTTTTGATCCACGAACAATCAATGTTAAATTACTAATTATAAAAGACACTAAAAGTGCTACAAATATGCAAATACACTCATTCTATTCTCTAAAAATTCTTGATTTAGATACACATTCAAATATTTCTCCAAAACTTCCAGTTTCCAAAATATACGCTGAAAACAATTTTTCTCTGTGTTGCTTCAAAACGGAAAATCTAGCAACAAAGTTCCAATAATAAATTACGAAAATGATTGCAATATTACAAACATAATTGAGCATTAAATGCATTAGACTGCAATTAAATTGTTTAATCCACTGATTACATTCGTTTTATTGTTTTATTACCATAAAAGTCCATCATTGTTAGTCGACAATAGTTTTCACTTATAAATACGATAAGAAAAAATTATAATATTTTCGAGTATTAGCGATATCTATGAAATGTCAAAAAAAAAAAACAACAAAAGTCATTACAGACAAACACTTGTTATTATCACTATGGTTACACAATCAGATTAAGCACGTGCCTTCCTTCGTTTGTCCAACAAACGAGAAAACAACTGCAATTAAAAACAAAATCGTTATTTTTATTTGTTTTATATAACGATTCTCAATTTTTTTATGGTTGCCTAGTAAACATTTTAATGGTTCCGATCTATTAAGTTTTTATTCGTTTCTTTTTTTTTGTTTTCATACATTTTCCAAGGCTAATCAGAGAAATACATAAAAATTCATCTTCAATGAAAAAAAAATTGTAAAATCAATAATTTTTACCAAAATTTGAATGTTTTTTTTTAATTGCTGAAACTTTATATAATTGCGTAACGTTAATGAGTACACTTTACGAGCGTACATTTGTTTTTTTTTATGAATAGAACTAAATTTTAGTGCTTTTTCTGAGTCACGTTTTTATGGAAGGAGGAGGACGTTTATAAGAAGTTAAAAAAACAGGCGAAACTTATGAGATTTACATGTGACGTTTTGTGAAAGAGACGCGCGAGAACTTTGCACTTCGCTTACGATTTTTGTTTGTTGATTACGCGATATATTTTTTATACTTATTTCCTAGTTTCTTGCTTTCGTTCAATCAAAACTTTCACTACGCAATCTTTTTGTTTCTATTAGAATTAGTCAAGTAGTGCACATCGAGGAAGCAAAACGGTTTATTTGTTCTAAATTGCAAAGTTTCAGCGAGTTTTTGGTAAGTAAAAAAAATGATTTGATCAATAAAATCCTTGTAGAGTCTTCACCTTTTATTCAATTACTGGATAACCACGTGAGGTAATTTAATCGTTGAACATGCAAATTAAACACAAAACTATAATCTTTTTAATAAGCCTACTGGTTAATTAGTGGCATACGCTGTTGTTTTGTTATACACTGTTGAAGTTGAACGTTCATTGTTTGAACGTTTCAGTTAGTTGGAACGTGATAATCAGTTTTTTTTTTGTTAATTTTATATTAATAGGGTTATAATTTGATAACAAATTGTGTAAGTAATATTAATTTTTTTTTGGATATAAAAAACAATTTTTGCAAGTCTGTACGTTATATTTCATTACTCGATAACCACACGCACTAACTGGATCATTCAAGATGCGAATTAAAGAAAAAACTCTGATCTTTCCAATGAGTCTACTTCCAACTTTGTATGTATTACCGTTCTCATACAATAAGCTATTAAAGTTTGATTGAATAATACGAATTGAATAATAATAATCGCTTCCAATATATATATAAATAACAATCGAAAGTAAACAAATTTCATTTAATTACAGTAATTACGAAAAAAAACTCGTATCGAATCTAATCTTCTTGATGGATCTTCGCAATAATTGGTAATTAGTAACTATTAATAATCGAGTCGTCTGCGAAATTCGAATGTCAAGCGATTGACATCTGTCAAAAGACGGTATCGGTGAGGTTATCAACGTCTTATCGCATTATTGATAATGTTTGTTTTTTTCTTTCGTGTATCCGGATGATGATAAGTGTAGTGTTTCGATGTGTAGATGACGAAATTCCGGAACATCCTTCGAACATTGAATGAACTTAGGTAATCGAAAACTGCGTGTGTGTATATTGTATAATCTACGTGCGATAAAACCAAATTTTAGGTATTGTCAACCTAAAATTTGGTACCTGTCAAAATTGTGTCAAACAAAATGTGTCACAATTATAGGTTATTGTCAACTTTGACAGCTTATACCAGGAGAACGAGGAATGTCACAAATTTGAAAGTAGGCTCGTTGGAAAGGTTACAGTTTTATCTTTGATTCTTATGCATACAAATTTAATTGCGTGATGAAATGGAAGGTAATATTTGATTATTAATTAAGATTATTTAATAATAATTATATCAAAAGACGCGCAATTGAAGACCGATTCTTGTGCAATGTTAAATTATGTTAAAAGTTAAAAAAAATGTGAAATTTTAAAAATAAAAATCGAAATTTCAGGTTAGGAATTGATTAAATATATAAATATTATCTAATTAGTTATGAAAAACAAAAATGTAATGTAAAATGACGCAACTGTTTGAATTGATAATGAATGATAATGTAAATGTAGATTATAAAGTTTAGTAGAGCGCGGCGTCTAGACTAGTACAAAAAAACATTTGAATAAAAATGGTGGATTTTGTGCGTTTCTGTTTTGTCTTTCAATTTTGTTTGACAAATCGGTGACCATGGAGACCATCAACGTTTGTAATTAATTTACTAATAAAGTTACAAATATGTATTTATACTCATTTTAAATCATAAATATTCAAGATTAATGCGTATATTAAAAATTTAGTTAAAAATGTTTAATTTTGAAAAAATACGATGAAATTTGAGAAGTTAAATTTTGTGAATATTTCAACAATGAATGACGAAACTTTGTAAAGTTACTAGCAGAGCTACAAATATGTATTTATACTCATTTTAAAGCATACATATTCAAGATTAATGCGTATATTAACAATTTTGTTAAAATTGTTTAATTACGAAAAAATACGATGTAATTTGAGAAGTTAAATTTTGTGAATATTGCAACAACTTTGTAATTAATTTACGAAGTTACTAGTGGAGCTATAAATATGTATTTATACTCATTTTAAAGTATAAATATTCAAGATTAATGTGTATATTAAAAATGTAATTAAAAATATTTAATTTCGAAAAAATACGACGAAATTTGAGAAGTTAAATTTTGTGAATATTTCAACAATCAAAGTTTCTCAAAAACTTCCAGTTTCCAAAATATACGCTGAAAACAATTTTTCTCTGTGTTGCTTCAAAACAACGGAAAATCTAGCAACAAAGTTCCAATAATAAATTACGAAAATGATTGCAATATTACAAACATAATTGAGCATTAAATGCATTAGACTGCAATTAAATTGTTTAATCCACTGATTACATTCGTTTTATTGTTTTATTACCATAAAAGTCCATCATTGTTAGTCGACAATAGTTTTCACTTATAAATACGATAAGAAAAAATTATAATATTTTCGAGTATTAGCGATATCTATGAAATGTCAAAAAAAAAAAACAACAAAAGTCATTACAGACAAACACTTGTTATTATCACTATGGTTACACAATCAGATTAAGCACGTGCCTTCCTTCGTTTGTCCAACAAACGAGAAAACAACTGCAATTAAAAACAAAATCGTTATTTTTATTTGTTTTATATAACGATTCTCAATTTTTTTTATGGTTGCCTAGTAAACATTTTAATGGTTCCGATCTATTAAGTTTTTATTCGTTTCTTTTTTTTTGTTTTCATACATTTTCCAAGGCTAATCAGAGAAATACATCATTTTAAATCATAAATATTCAAGATTAATGTGTATATTAAAAATGTAGTCAAAAATATTTAATTTCGATAAAATACGACGAAATTTGAGAAGTTAAATTATGTGAATATTTCAACAATTAATAACAAAAGTTTGTAATTAATTTACGAAGTTATTAGCAGAGTTACAAATACGTATTTATACTCATTTTAAATCATAAATATTCAAGATTAATGTGTATATTAAAATGTAGTTAAAAATATTTAATTTCGAAAAAATACGACGAAATTTGAGAAGTTAAATTTTGTGAATATCTCAACAATTAATAACAAAAGTTTGTAATTAATTTACGAAGTTATTAGCAGAGTTACAAATACGTATTTATACTCATTTTAAATCATACATATTCAAGATTAATGCTTATATCAACAATTTTGATAAAAATGTTTAATTACGAAACAATACGATGAAATTTAAGAAGTTAAATTTTGTGAATATTTCAACAATTGATAGCAAAAGTTTGTAATTAATTTACGAAGAGACTAATAGAGTTACAAAGATGCATTTCAGCTTATTTTAAACCTTGAATATTCAAGATTATTTTCCACATTAATTCTTATATAAGACATGTTTAATTACGAAAATATTAGCTTAATATAAAGACGTTACATTATTTTTTTTTGATCCACGAACAATCAATCTTAAATTACTAATTATCAAAGACACCAATAGTGCTACAAATATGCAATATTTGTCCATTTCGAAAACATACGCTAAAAACAATTTTTCTCTTTGTAGCTCAAAATAAAAATCGAAATTTCAGGTTAGGAATTGATTAAATATATAAATATTATCTAATTAGTAATGAAAAAAAAAATGTAATGTATAATGACGCAACTGTTTGAATTGATAATGAATGATAATGTAAATGTAGATTATAAAGTTTAGTAGAGCGCGGAGCGTCTAGACTAGTAGAAAAACATTTGAATAAAAATGGTGGATTTTGTGCGTTTCTGTTTTGTCTTTCAATTTTGTTTCTTTGGCTTCGACAGGGCGGTGACCATGGAGACCATCAACCAGGTGACAGGTATGTTGATTATATGATTGTTTTTTTTATGGGGGAATGCGGTTCGTTTGTTTACTCTTTTGTTTGTTTTCGTAGAGAGGCATTTGTTTCTGATCGATGAGGGGATTGGTGATGGTTCTGTGGTGAAAACAATTGCGTAACGTTGACGGTCTTTACTGGTTTACTGGATCTCTTTTTGCAGTGAACCTCCCGCAAGACGACTACTTCTCGCCGACGGATTTCCGACTGGCGAAGACCACCAAATCCGATATCAGCTACAGGGTGTTCACGAGCGAGTACACTTCGTCGGCGTGCGATCATTCCGTCCTACCGAAGTTCGAAGCGGACGTTCCGGTGAAGTTTCTCATTCACGGTTGGACGACGAACGAGACTTCGCCTTGGTACGATCTGCTGAAGAGTGCGTACTTCAAGAAGGGTGCGCATCGGGTGGTTTTCGTCGATTGGTCGGTGGCAGGTACGAAGAAGTACTCGGTGAGTGCTGCCAACAGCAAACCGATTGGAGAATATCTGGGGGATTTCATTGTGGACAGTGGAGTAAGTTTGGGGTTGGTGCACCTGGTGGGGCACAGTTTGGGTTCGCACGTTGCGTCCTTCGCCGGGAAGATGGTGCTGAAGAGGACTGGAAAGAAGGTGGGAAGGATAACCGCTTTGGATCCGGCTCTGCCGAAGTTCGAAGGAGCTCCAGCGGAATGCGGTCTGCACGTGGAGGATGCAGAGTTCGTGGACGTCGTGCACACGGACGTCGGGCATTACGGATACACGAGACCTGCGGGTCACGTGGATTTCTACCCCAATGGGGGCAAGGATCAGCCGGGATGTCCG